TCCATGTAGGCTTTTAATACTCATGATATTAGGACATTGCTTCTACTGGTGATCTCTACACAAATGTTATTTACGAAATAATGGAGGGGGTTTATTTCACGGAGATCGATATGGTGGTTTGCCAACCATTATTATCTGAGAGATATCCACCACCCGAGGGCGCGTCAGGTATCCACCAATTCGATCCCATGGTCCATCGCACAACAGTTGACAGTTCCTGGAGAAGATGAATTAATCTTACAGATTTCTACTTATCTTATAACAGTACTAAATAGCTACATGCTATATATATAATTTGCTTAAGTTCCTTTTATCATCACGCCGTACTATGATTATTTACATCATACAATATATAAGTTAACAACTCTACAGAGTTTGTTATTATATATATTTACCTTAAGTTAATCATATCTTAAGAGTAGTACTATGGTTACATGATAAATGCATTAGCTAAACAAACTCTACAGGTTTTGGCTGTATATCACGTGGCTTAAGTTAATTATATCTTAAGCCTTAATTTACTATACTCATATTGTAAAATATATTAGCTAGCAAACTCTTGGGTTTTGCTGTTATATAAGGTAGCAAAGCTTATTCATATCTTAAAGCTCAATTACTATGTTTATATCATATAAATTATATTAGCTAACAAACTCTAAAAATTTTTTTGCTTTCTATTTATTAGAATGTCATCATATCTTAAGCAATGTAGTTTGATTATAACGCATTGTATTAGCTAACAAACTCAGCGAGGTTTTTGCTTTTATATATCAACCCAAAACTTATTCATATCTTAAAAGCGCCAGTACTATGTTTATATCATATAGGTATATTGGCTATCAAAGGAAATCTAAAAGGGTTTTGCTATTATATATTTGGCTTAAGTTTCATCATATTTTTAAGCTTTATGGTTACATTATAACATGTATTAGCTAACAAACTCTCACGGAGTTTTGCTAATATATATAATGTAAGCAAAAGGTTTCAGCCCTTAAAGCTCAATACTAGGTTTATATCCATATAAAATTATTTTTAGCTAAACAGAAACTCTAAAGAGTTTTTTGCTATTGTGTATACAGATAGCTTAAGATTTCATCATATCTTAAGCGAGGTATGGTTACATTATAAAATGTATTAGCTAACAAAGGCTTCTGAGGAGTTTTGCTGTATATATATAGCTTAGGAACACAATCATATCTCTTAAGCTCAGTACTATATTTTATAACACTAAAAAGTATATTAGTTGAAAGTAGGCTCTAAAGGGGAGTTTTTGCTATATACATTTAAAGCAAAAGATCTAATCTTATCTTAAGCTTGGTACTATGAGATTTACATTGAAATAAAATCTATTAGCTAGCCAAAGCTCTACCCAGGAGTTTTGGCTATTGTATATATAAGCTTAAAGTTAATTATATCTGCCAAGCACAGTACTATCACTCATATTGTAAGAAATATATTAGCTAACAAAGCTCTACAGGAGTTTTGCTATTATATAATAATAGCTAAAAGCTTATTCATATCTTAAGCTCAGCATTATATCTATATCCTTATAAGTATATTAACTAACAAACTCACAAGAGTTTTGCTAAATTATATAATTAGCTTAAGTTTAATGCATCATCTTAAGCTTAGTACTATGTTTATATCTTAAAAGTATTTACACGTAACAAACTCTAAAGGAGTTTATACTAGCATATTAACAAGCTTAAGTCTATTAGTCTTAAGCATTGTATTAATGTTATATATGCTTTATCATAATAAATTACATTGTAATAGCAACTATATGGCAGCTGATAAGTTAGCAGCGGAAAAAGGGTTATCAGATTCAGTGCCGCTATGGAAGTTAAAGTTGTAGGGTTATTACAATCATCACAGTTCAAATCACTAATTATTAAAATCCAAAGTGTTATATATTCCCACCTCCTTTTGCCGTAAGATTCTACTAACAAAAGAAAGAGCATGAGTCAGGATAAGGAAAAATATGTAATTTTTTAGAGTATTGATTGATGGTATACTTATCCTGACTCATGGTAAACTCCCTCCCATCCTCCCCACATAACACTTTGGATTTCCCTGTAAATTCAAATGTTGGGCTCAGTATATGAGGAGAGAGTGAGGGCACATGGGTGGAGGTGAAACCCTGGTTTCGGCTTGTGGAAGGGAGGTAGCTTCGTGGTGAGTATTACTAATTAGTGATTTTACATTGAAGGGAGCTTCAATTAGGGAGATACAAGTGTTCCACTATGTTACTTAAGAGAAGAAGACAAGCAAAAGAGCATGAGTCAGGATAAATTATAAAATATCAATTTTACTCTAAAAATTACATTATTCAGGGCTTAAAAAAGCCAGGCCGTCCAGTTACTGACTTAGAAGTACCCATGATTTGACCAATGTGTGATGATGAATCAAGGGACATTACTACACTGTAAAAGCCAAAGTCACTGTGTTCTTTTAATCTGATTGGTTGAAAAACATGATCGAGATGGTATTGATTCGCGGATATTACAAGACTATTCACTCTGCGTATTGACATGTACTTTGAATATCACACACAATTGTACTGTTGCGTCATCAGCAGTGGTGATGTCATTCAAATCATATTGTGATGACGTAAAAGTGAATGACATCACAAAGTAAGAGTTCCAGATGCTGCCAGGAACCAGTTGAAGCGGCCAGCTGATGACACTTCACTGCTTGTACCATTATTCGATGTCAATGAGTGCAGATTAGTAAAACCCATGTGGGCCTTTTGGAGTTACTTTTGTGTTTACAATGTCGATAAACGCATCCTGTGTTGGCCAGTTGTTATCTCCTGAGAATTAAACCTGTCTACACAAGTTGAATATGATTTCACATTGTGTGCACACAAGTACTAAGAACTGTCATGAGTCAACTTACAACTTATGCGTGGAGACAGTTTTAGCCTTGATGTATTTTGCCCTGTGTGTTTGTGACTGACCACCCCTCTTCCTTTAGGTGCTTTACCAGACCCTATCCCCACAGTGGAAGAAGTGAGTGCTCTGCAGCCCTCGCCCGAGGAGAACATGAACAGAACCGATTCAAGAACATATTGCCAAGGTCAGACAAAGTGGATTGACTTATTCAGCTACTTCGAGGTGTTATTTTATTGATGTCGAGATGAGGTGGCGAAGTTATTGCTGAATCTGCGTGAATTTGCTCCAGTTTGATCCTTAGTCAGCAGCTGCCACATTTTCATGGGGTCCAGTGGGAAGTCATAACTTCGTATTCAGCTTACAGTCACTTGAGGGCTTTCCCTGCATGCCGGAGTTTGCATGATCCAGCTCGCTGTACTGTGATAGAGATAAAGAAGCACTACAATGCTCATTAGTCTTTATCAATGCCTTATATGAAGCTATGGCCGAGAGATATCACTTCAGTTCCAGGCATGGTATTTTGGCTGCTATTGAAACAATTTCATTTTTTATTTTCAGTCTGCATGGTTGATTTTTGATGAAAAAAGTTGCATGTACTTTGCGGCGTTATAGGTTCAAACAATAACCCTTCAGGAGTGTTGATTTAAAAACATGAAACTTTAATCAGTTTGATTTTCAGGGTGTTCTTTAATCTTAGCATGTTATGAAATCTCTTGACTTTGAATTCTTCACTTTCTCAGTCATTATACAGCGCTCCATCTGTTTTTCTCAATGTAAAGTTTGTGAATGAATGAGGCCATGCTTGTATTGGCACAAGTGATAGCTTGATGCTTGAGTCACAGCCTGGTCTGCCTCAGCATTATTAGCTTCAACAGTTGTGTGGCTTCCACAGACTTTAAAACATTCAGTTATATTACATTTTACTTTAAGAAGCCATAGCTTTTTCTTTCTGAGTTTCTTCTCTGGATGTAAAACTTTTAAAAAACACAACATGTTTGTTTTGCTTCCACGGATGTTAAACATTCAGTTACATGATATTTACAGCAATAAAGCCATAGCATTTCTTTTGTGAGGTTTCTTCTCTGGATGTAAAAGTTAAACAACAAAGCATAAATAAGTTTGTATTATTAAATCACTTGGAATAAAAGCATAAATGACATCAAGATAATAATCAATGAGAAATATCTTAAGAGGTAAGTCTATTGTGCTT